AGCAATACAATCATAGTAGGGGACTTTAATATCCCATTGACACCACTCTATAAATCCTCTAAACAAAAAAATCAGAAAAGAAATATCAATCCTAAATGACTCAGTAAATCAGAGGGAATTAATTGACATCTTCAGAACATTTCACCCCAAAGTTACCGAATATATATTCTTCTCAAGTGCACATGGGACATTTTAAAAGATAGACCACATATTGGGACACAGGCAAAGCATCTTCAAATTCAAGATAGAAATCATATCAAGCATCTTCTCAGATCACAATGGCATAAAATTAGAAATCAACCGCAATAAAAACAATGAAAAAAATCAAACACTTGGAGGTTAAATAGCATGCTATTAAACATTGATTGGTTTACCAAAGAGATCAAAGAAGAAATAAAAAGCATCCTGGTAACAAATGACAATGAAAACACAACAATACAAAATCTATGGGACACAGTGAAAGCAGAATGGTTTACAGTCCTACACCTTAAGGAGGCCTTCTTTTATATACCTTTTCATCCTATTCAGTTTCTTTTTTGCATTTGAAGATCCCTCAGAGCAGTCTACCCAGAGGTTTAGAGATTGTCCCCACTTGTTTGGTCAGGCCTTAGCTCAAGATTTATGCCATTTTGAACATCCACAAACTAAGGTCATACAATATGCTGATTACATTTTACTACATGTCCCCTCTGACAAGGTCTCCCAAGAAGGTACAAGAGCCTTACTCAACTTCCTGGCAGAAAGAGGTCTAAGGCTCAGCTCTGCCATACATCTATAACATATTTGGGCTTAGTCCTGATAGAAGAACTAGGATGTTGGGAGAGGATAGGGTCAAGCCTATTTCTTCCTTCTGCCCCATACCTTAAAACAACTGAGATGTATTTGGGGCATTACTGGATTTCATAGATTATTGATGCCACGGAATGGGGAGATAGCTCAACCACTATATCAAATGACTAAGTAAGCTCAGAAAGAAAGTCTATCCTTACTTGAATGGGAGCCAGCATCAGAATTGGCCTTCAAACGACTTAAATAGGCTCTTCTCTATGGGATGGGGGTTTCTCTCTTCCTGCGACCAACACAGAGAGAGAGAACATGGGGGTTGATGAAATCTTGACTAGAACTCTATGAGGTTTAAGAAAAATGAATAAAACACAAGACTGAGACAGAAATAGAGAAAGCTGGGCCTGGGTGTGGCATCTGCCCCCTCATGGAGGGACAGAAAGAGCCAGTACAGGAAGCAGATTTATTTATACTTGAATTACAGGAAGTTACATCACATCTGGGTGGGCCTTGAGTTCCTGACGACATCATGAGATCCATCCCCTTAACACTGGGAGGGAAAGTCAGACTGAGTGGTGTCCAATCTCTTGACTGGTTCCGCCCTCAGGGCATGGCTTTGCCTTTCGCTCTGAGTTTCAGTTGACATATTTAAAGAAGCCCCAGTGTTTTGCCAGTGGCCCTCAACACCTCCCCCTTTATTTACATTTAAGCAACTCAAATTAAAACTAAAACTTAATATCAAGAACAAGGCTTTGACTAAATAAAACTAATAACAAATCAATATCAATGCAAACACAACAATAGTAGAGAAATCAAACTACAGCTATGTTAACATTTTAGCTACTGAGTGAAAAGTCTCTTTTGCTTCTGGGCATTAAAGGAATCAGTTTGCAATAAGTTTCTTTTTGGGCCAACAGTTCTTAAAGTCCCAATTTCAATGTCCAACAGTTCCTTATGTGTACATGTTAACAACAATATTTCAGTTTTGGATGGTAGACAAACGTTGGCAATGCAGGTCCGACCCTCTCTGGTTTGGTCCTGGGCAACCTGCAGCAACGCACAGCTGCTGACTGCTAGCATGGCAAGGCTTCTTCACTACCTTCATTTCTGGACTCTTTCTCTTCTGTTGTTCTGGGGCCACTGCTTATTTGTGGGTGGAGCAGTCCGGTCACTTCCTCTCTGGAATTCGTTGTTGAAGGAATCCACATGGGCTTGGAAGAGTTTTCTGGAAATATACAAACAAATTCTCGACCAAAGGTTAAAGGAATAATATTTGTAAATTAGACTTGGGATCCTTTTCATTTTTTGCCCAAATGATTTTCCTTTGGCTTATCTTGACACCATACGTGTTTTCATGGGTGTCTTGTTATTAGCATTACAAATGAAAAATAATTTTCAAGTAAAAAAATTAAAGCAATTAAGGCTTTTACTTACAGGACATTATTCCACTATCCCAGTGGTCGGCAAACTCATTAGTCAACAGAGCCAAATATCAACAGTACAATAATTGAAATTTCTTTTGAGAGCCAAATTTTTTAAACTTAAACTATATAGGTAGGTACATTGTTATTAACTTAATTAGGGTACTCCTAAGCTGGCCTTTGCTAAAAACGTCCTCAATCTGATTGAGGTACGTTCGCTGAGGTCGACCCCTTCCAACTCTCCCATCCACACTTGTCTTGTATACTTGTTTCGTCTATCTTTTGTCACCTGCACACGATTTGTGGATGTTACTAGCACTAACCACTGCACAATGAGACTGCTGACTGACTGGCTCACTCAACTCGTGCATGAATCCCACATGCGCCTCCCCCGCGCTACGTGTCCCTCGGCCCGCCTGCTCCACGTCTCCCACCGCCCGACCGACCGACCGACAAACCCCACTTCTTCTAATGCCACTTCTTCAAAATAGACTCGCCCAGGCCAAAAACTGACTTCTGCCCATGGGCCATAAAGTTTCAATCACACTGTACGTGCACTCCCGCACATGGTATTTTGTGGAAGAGCCACACTCAAGGGGCCAAAGAGCCGCATGTGGCTCCCAAGCTGCGGTTTGCTGACCACTGTACTATCCCACCATTTTTGATTTTTTAAATTTTAGGAGGCTTTTGGGAAATTTTACAATGCAGTCTTGATAACTTTTAATTTTTTGTTTAGAAATATGACTGCTCTGGATTCATTGCATGTTAAGCAATTTTTGAAACATCAATAACAATTTTAGTTAATACTTCAGGAACAGTTTCCTGTACAGTATCATTAAATTTTCTTGAACATTCATTTTAATTCGCCAATTTTAAATTAATTTGAAATAAAGTTTATTATTTTAATTTTATTTGTCCTAAGTTATGCACAGTAAATAACATTAATTGGATTACTGCTAATCCGTCCCTTTAAATACTTTGACATAAGCTATTTAACCTTTGTTTAGGGAGGGAAATGCAAATCATTTACTCCCAAGTGTCCTTGGTTTAGGGAAGACAGGATTTAAGGATTTAGAGAAGACAGGATTTAAGGATTTAGGGAAGACAGGATTTTCTAGATGACTTTAAACCTTTTGGCATTTATATTTTTTAGATAGTTGTAAACTGCTGTTACATGGGAGTCAACAAATTAGAAAAATGACTTTGTTGGTCTGTGCATATACTTAATAATAACTTTGCATGACATTCAAGGCATATATATTTAAATAAAACATTGCTATTAATTAATTAATTAATTAATTAATAATTTCTCTTTTTATTTATTTGGCAGAATTTCCTCATGCAATCTCAAGTATCTTGTATTGGTCTAATTTAGTTATTTCTTTTTTGGGAGAAGGAATAAATCTTTTTGCAGTACCCCAGGGCCTTTTGGGGTCCACAAAATCTGTCCTTCAGTTATATTCTTAAAGTATTACATTCGGAAAAACCATCAAATATATCCAATTTAAAAATTATTAAAAACTCAAACCAGTTCTTAACATTAAAGGATTTGGTCTTGACCATATAATTAAGTACTTTTAATCTGGTCATTGAATTTTCATATGATATATCTTGAATGTCAGAAAAACTGCTGGGAGAAACATGCTTACTGCTCGCCCATTTTTTCACTGCACAGCTGTGGTCACCTTCAGAGGATTTAAGACATATGATACCATTAGTTTATGTAAATCACATAAAATAACTTTCCTTTAATATTCATGGTGACTGCTATTAATAATTAGATTTAATGCCTAAATGACATTGTTCAGTTTGCATTTTACCTTTAGAGAATGTTCCTATCTACAAGCCTTTAAGAATTTGAACTTCTATTGTCAGCCTTTATAAAGCTGGTTGATTAAAACATTGGTCTGTCATCCTATCTAATAATAGAGAAACATGGTAATTAACCATAACTTCACTACCCTTCCCATTGGCTAATAAGCAAGGTATGCAAATTAACTGCCAACCAAAATGGCGGCCGGCAGCCAGGCAGCTGAAGCCATCAGGAGGCTTGGTTGCCCCGGCAATGGAGGAAGCCAAGGTTCCCCGCCTGCCACCGCCTGCCGCTGGGCTCTGAGCTCCTGAAGCAACAGCTCCAAAAGATACAATGTTTCAATTATAGAAGCTAAAAGATGGCAGTTAATTTGCATACGCAGGCTCCAAGCAGTGGAGCAAAGCCAAACAGCCCCAAAGCCGCAGAGCAGCGAGGCCTCCCAGCCCCAGGATCAGCTGAGCGGAGAGGCCTCCCAGGCCCGGAATCAGTGGAGCCTGATGGAAGCCCTGTGTGTTTATGCACCCTGGGGGTGCAGGGGTCCCGTCCTAGTCAGAGGCTGATGGCACAACTTCTGACTCCGAGAAGCAGCCTGGGGGCTGGAAGGTGGCTCCTCTGACCTCAGTGCTAGAGTCCCGCCGCTCCACCAGGAGAGGAGCAGAGAAAGGCCGGAGCCTCCCTCAAGGTGACCCGAAATCCCCACCCACACCAGGCAGGCTGCTGGAACTGTGCGTGGAGGACTCACCTCCAAGCCCAACTCGTGGCCCTACCACAGCAATGGCACTCTTGGGTGCAGGCCCCAGTGGGATGTGGGATGGTGGCGGGGGCGCTGTGAGTCCTGGGCTCCTCTCCTGCCTTCCGCGGCCACCTCCTGCTTCAGGGCCTCGCCCTCCGTGGCCTCCTCCTCCCCAGCGCCCAGAGCAGTGGACCCACTGAGGTTGCTCCCCACTGGCTGAGGGGGTGAATGGAGCTGCGGGGACTCCCAGGTGAAGGGTCGCCCTGGGGAGGAGTCCGGACACCTGCACACCCCGCTCCTATTCAGCAACATCTCCGAGATCACATGTCTGCACCGCAGGCTGTGGGGCAGCGTGATGGCGCCGATGGTGGAGAAGGTGCTGCACATGCAGGCACTGCTGCAGCCCGGGACCTCCTCAAAGGCTTTGAGATGTTCGGCTCCCTCTTCAAGCCCTACATCCGGTACTTCATGGAGGAGGAGGGCTGCATGGAGTACACGCGCAGCCTGCTGCATGACAATGACCTCTTCCGGGCCTATGTGACGTGGGCTGAGAAGCACCAGCAGTGCCAGCGGCTGAAGCTGAGCAACATGCTTGCCAAGCCCCACCAGCGGCTCACCAAGTACCCACTGCTGCTCAAGTCGGTGCTGAGGAAGACGGACGAGCCGCGTGCCAAGGAGGCCGTCACCACCATGATCAGCTCCATGGAGCGCTTCATCCACCATGTGAACGCATGCATGCGGCAGCAGCTGGCGGCCGTGGTGAGCCGCATGGACGCCTATGAGGTGGTGGAGGGTAGCAACGACGAGGTGGACAAGCTCCTGAAGGAATTTCTGCACCTGGACCTGACCGCGCCCATCCCTGGTGCCTCCCCGGAGGAGACGCGTCAGCTGCTGTTGGAGGGCAGCCTGAGGATGGAGGGAAAGCACAGAAAGATGGATGTGTACTGATTCCTCTTCATGGACCTACTCTTAGTGACCAAGGCAGTGAAGAAGGCTGAAGGGACCAGGGTCATCATGCCATCACTGCTGGTGGACAAGGTCGTGTGCCGGGAGCTGCGGGACTCTGGCTCCTTCCCCCTGTTAACGTAAAAATACTATTGAAAGCTGTAAAGAATTTTTGTGAGTTTATTTGAGCCAAACTGTCGACATATGCCAGGAAGCAGAACCTCAAGGAATCGAGATAGTGCTCCGGAGAATGGCAGGGTTACATCCGTATTTATACATGAAATTCATTGGTGACAGATTTAAGGAGGTGGGATTAAGCGAAGTGGGGAAACCTCTGTGATAGGATAAAAAGTAAAATGATGGACACATACTTAGGTGGGTGCAGGAACAATTAACATGATGATGAAGGAATCTGTGGTATCTGTCCTGGGACCCAGCACACCTGGTTGTGCCCCAGGGGCTCCATAAAAAGGGAAGTCACAAGTTACCCAGACATCCCAGGGACATGTTATCATAGATGCAAAAAGACAGATAGGCTCAGTTACGGTAAAGGTTGACCTTATCAGTGAAGATACCGGCTTAGGACGTAACTGCCCACCATAACTGCTTTTAGTTAAGGTTTAATTTCAGACCATCCTGTGTGGTTACTTTAGGTCTGCAAAACTGCCATGCAGGCCTCTCCTGAGCTTGTCAGGTCAGCATGTGGCCCCTTTCTTTCACACCCCTCATCTACCTGAACGAGTTCCACAGTGCCGTGGGGGCCTACACGTTCCAGGCCAGTGGGCAGGCTCTGTGCCAGGGCTGGGTGGACTCCATTTACAATGCCCAGAGCCAGTTGCAGCAGCTGCATGCGCAGGAGCACGCGGGCAGGCAGCAGCACCTGCAGAGCCTGGAGGAGGAAGAGGAAGAGGAGGGTGGGGAGAGTAGCACTTCCGCCACCAGCTCCCCCACCATCCTGCGCAAAAGCAGCAACAGCCTGGACTCCCAGCATTGTGCCTCGGATGGCTCCAGGGAGACCCTGGCCATGGTGGTGCTGGAGCCCGGGAGACGCTCTCCTCTCCTGAGTTCGAGGGCAGCCCCTTCAGCTCCCAATCGGACAAGATGTCCCTCAGTACCACCACCTCATCTGTCACACCTACCAGCGAAGTGCTGGCTCTGGGCCCCGGGGAGGGCAGCTCCTGCTCCATGGACTCTGCCTATGGCACCCTCTCCCCTGCCTCCTTGCAGGACTTTGCGACCCCAGCCCCTGTGGTGGAGCCAACGCCCCCAGCCCCTAGATTTACCACAGGCCCCTTCACCCCGGCCCTCGCCCCTCCTCCTCTGCCTCCCCCCTGTCCAGTTGCTGCCCTGCCTGCCCCACCTGTTCAAGTCCAAATCTAAGGCCAGCCTCCTGCAGCTGCTGGCAGGGGCCGCCACCCACAGGGCGCCCCCAGCCTGCAGCCGCAGCCTGTCAATACTCTGTTTGGCTGCCACAGCCAAGGGCACTAGGACTCGGGGCTCCCCTCAGGAAGCTGGGCCCCCCTGGAATTGCGGGGGCACACAAAGCCCTGGCAGTGGCTCCCAGCTATCAGAGATGGGGGGCAGGACCACCTGCCTGGTGGGGGGGCCCAAAGGGCCCTCCAGGAGGAGCAGAGAGCTGCCCTCAGGGACCTCCCCCAGGGTCCAGCCTGAGCCTCCACTCCCCCATCTCTGCCCAGCACAGGAAGCTGACCCAGCTGGCCCAGCTCTACCGCATCAGGACTACCCTGCTGCTTAACTCCCAGGCCCTGAGCACAGGGTGGAGCTGCCATGCCTGGAGGGCACCGTGGGGGGGGGGGCGCATGTGTGCCTGGTGCAGCAGGACTTGCTGGGGAGCCGCCCACCTTCCTGGGCGGGCCTCAGGCCCGGCGCCCAACCTGGAAAGGCCGCAGTGCGGCCACCAGGCCCTGAAGGCTGCCCTGAAAGCCATACAAAGACAACCTGCTGCTGGAGGGCAGGCATGCAGTGCTCTGTGAAGACACCGCAGGTAGGGAAGGAAGGTCATGGAAGGGAGCAATTGCAAGCGGAGATCCCGAAGGTTCTGAAAGCAGAGGACCAGCTCCTTGCAGACCTGAACTCCGTGTGGGCCTCTTTCTCAGCCCTGTGGAAGTGGTGCGACACACAGGAGGAGGTGATGGACCGGGGCTGCGCCCAAGGAAGACTCGGAGGAAGCAATGTGTGGACAGGGCCAGGCGGAGCAGGCAGGCCTGTGCGGAGCCTGCTGGAGCGCAGCCAGACCCCAAGGCGACCACCAAGACAGGCCCCAGGGAGAAGCTAGCAGATGCCACTCCACTCGCTGGAGAAGACCATTGAGCAGAAAAATAAACCGATTTTACATCATTTTCCAGGTGGAGAACAGTTGGCATGTAAGCCCCTGACCAGTGCCCAGCCTCTCCTCTGTCTGTCTATCTCACTCTTAGGTACCATGTTCTTTGTTCTCTCTTAACTGCAACTCATTTTTAAACTAGATTGCTTTTAAAAGAAGGCTAAATAAAGTTTCCCTTAAGTTATTTAGGTGGTGCTGGGGCTGCTGGGGCTGCTGGGGGCCGGATTACAGACACAAACACGCAGGGGAGCCCGGCACCCAGCAGCCCCAAGCCCCGCTGAGACAGTGTTGGGGCTGCTGGGGGCTTGATCAGAGACACAAACCGACCCAGCAGGTCCGGCACCCAGCAGCCCTGGCACAGCAGACCCAAACCCCACCATCACAGAGCTGGGGATGCTGGGGGCAGAATCAGAAACACAAACCTGCAGGCTCGGCACCCAGCAGGCCCAAGGCCCACCACCTAGGCACTGGGGCTTCTGAGGGCCTGACCGAAGACACAGATCCGCAGCACCTGCACCCAGCAGCCCCAAGCCCCGCCATCAAGGTGCTGGGGCTGCTGGGGGTATCAGAGACACAAACTTGCAGGACCAGCACCCAGCAGACCCAAGGCCTTCGCGGCAGCACTAAGGAGCAGCAAGCTGAGCGGTAGGAAGCAGCAAGCAGGTGGACGGTAAGGAGGGAGGGGTCCCGGACTGCGAGAGGGCACAGGCTGGGCTAAGGGACCCCATACCCATCCCCAGTGCATTAATTTCGTGCACCGGGCCTCTAGTATAACTAACATTATATAAGACCTAGATTATATTTTAAAAGCTAATTTATTAAGCAATAAGAATAAGCATCTTCATAGAAAAAAATATAGTAAATAAATCCGCGAGGCATACATTCAGCTCCATCGCCTGGGCTTTCCTCATAAACTCCGCCTTAAAACTCTGCCTCTGGGAGAAACCAAGATGGCGGCATAGGTAAACACCAGAAATTGCTGCCTCTCACAACCACTTCAAAAATACAACTAAAAGACAAAATGGACATCATCCAGAACCACAGGAAGGCTGGCTGAGTGGAAATTCTATAACTAGAAGGAAAGAGAAAAGCACACTGAGACTCAGAGAGGTGCGGAAGTAAAGTGCAGAGGTATGGAGGCGCACATGGAAAGGGCTAGCAAATGAGGACGCAGTTGCCTTTTTCAATCGAGAGGGAGTCTCAAGCTCCCAACTGCTCTGAATTCCAGTTCTGGGCGAGTCTCTGGGGACCCAGATCATACAGGGAGAAACTGGACTGTCTGGCATCGGTTAGAACTCACGGGCCACTTTCTCTCAGAGGTGCTTGCAGCGATTACATCAGGACACTGAGACTTGGGGCCTCTTAGGTTAGGGCTGAGGATCAGCCATAGCTGTTTGATCCAACCTGTTGATTCCCAAGACGCTGCCCCACCCAAGCTGTGTGCAGAGGCTTTTGCATATGAAAGGCAAGGCCCTTTGTAATCTGAAAATTACCTAACATACTGTAGCTGGGTCACAGAGACCCAGAACTTCCAAAAGAAGGCCCAAGGCCCCACAGCAGCTTGCATTGCTACACAGCTGGGCCTCATATAGGCATCTCCAAACCCCAAACAAATAAGAGGAATCTGCAGATCTCTCCATAGCTCCTGCTGGGTAGCCTCAGGCAGAGGCTAAATTAGCACCTCCTTAGAGATCCAAGAGCCAGTGTACCCAGTGGTCAGAGTGGGATCATCCAATTACAACTCCTCAGATCCATAAGGGACACACTCAGGGCGCAGACTCAGTGAGCACCAAAGCCCCACTGAAGCAAGTCTTGCCCCAGAAGGGTGTCTCCAGCACAGAAGTTCTCCCACTGCAGACACAGCTGATTCTCACAGCAAATTGCCCTGGAGGTCAATTCCTCCCAGTGATACCTACAACAATCAAGGCTTAACTACAACAAGACTGTGCACAAAGCCCACAAAAAGGTGCACCAAGAGTGTCCACCTCAGGTAATTGGGGAGGCTGAGCCACTGGGCCCCATAGGACACCTAGCACAGAAAGTCACTCTATCAACACAGGGAAGCATAAAAAATGTGGAGACAAAGAAACAGATCAGAAATGACAGAAATGGAGGAAAGCAAACTACAGGATATAGAGTTCAAAATTACACTTCTAAGGTTTTTCAAGAATTTTCTAGAAACTGCTGATAAATTTAATGAGACCCTCAAGAAATCTAGTGAGACCCTCGAGGTTATGAAAAAGGACCAACTAGAAATTAAGCATACACTGACTGAAATAAAGAATATTATACAGAGTTCCAACAGCAGACTAGAGGATCACAAGATCAAGTCAAAGATTTGAAATATGAAGAAGCAAAAAACACCCAACCGGAAAAACAAAAAGAAAAAAGAATCCAAAAATATAAAAATAGTATAAGGAGCCTCTGGGACAACTTCAAGCATACCAACATGCAAATTATGGGGGTGCCAGAAGAAAAGAGAGAGCAAAATATTGAAAACCTATTTGAAGAAATAATGACAGAAAACTTCCCCTACCTGGTTAAAGAAATAGACTTACAAGTCCAGGAAGCACAGAGAACCCCAAACAAAAGGAATCCAAAGAGGACCACACCAAGACACATCAAAATTAAAATGTCAAGAGCAAAAGACAAAGAGAGAATCTTAAAAGCAGCAAGAGAAAAAAAGTCAGTTACCTACAAGGGAGTACCCATACGACTGTCAGATGATTTCTCAACAGAAACTATGCATGCCAGAAGGGAGTGGCAAGAAATATTCAAAGTGATGAATGCCAAGAACCTACAACCAAGATTACTTTACCCAGCAAAGCTATCATTCAGAACTGAAGATCAGATAAAGAGCTTCACAGATAAGGAAAAGCTAAAGGAGTTCATCACCACCAAACCAGTATTATTTGAAATGCTGAAAGGTATCTTTTAAGAAGAGGAAGAAGAAGAAAAAGGTAAAGATACAAATTATGATCAACAAATACACATCTATCAACAAGTGAATCTAAAAATCAAGTGAATAAATAATCTGATGAACAGAGTAAACGGATGAATATAAGAGAATCAGGGGCATAAAAAGGGAGTGGACTCACTATTCTTGGGGGGGGAAAGGGGTGTGGGGGGTGCTGGAAGAGATTGGACAAAAACCGTACACCTATGGATGAGGACAGTGGAGAGGGGGTACGGGCAGAGTGTCGGGTGGGAACCGGGTGGAGGGGAGCTATGGGGGGAAAAAAGAGGAACAACTGTAATAATCTGAACAATAAAGATTTAATTTTAAAAAGTTTATATTTAAAAATCTCTTAATTAAGAAATAATTTTGATATAAAAAAAAACTCTGCCCCTGAAATTCCATTCTGCCTCAGTAAGCAGACATTCCTTTTGTGATTGGCTAATTCAAAGGGAGGGGCAGGCCGTTGTTGTTTTAAGATGGCGGCCATGTGCCATGTGGCCCAAGATGGCAGCTGCCACGTGTTGAGGCCAGCATGGTGGTTGCTTAAGCCCCCTTTTTTCAGATAGGAAATATAACTTGCTTATCATTACACTTGGTTAAAAATGCAGAATTAATCCTCATTTCTAACTAGATTTAGATGGAAAATTCATTAGAATTATATAACTTCTTAAACCTTAACTTTAATTCTAAAGTCTTAAAATTTTCAGTCCTCTTTGATAGCGAGACAGAAATTCAGACATATAATGACAGTACATTTAAAATACGCAAGCCACACTTAACGAACAAATTCAATTTTATATTGTAGATATTTTATAAACCAAATTTAAACCCAATTATCCAATTCCATTCTTTGAAAAACAGCCTTAATCGCATGGCCACAAGCCAGTGAGACTGCTGGAAGCGGGAGGATTTAAAATGCAAGTTCTCCTATTTCGGGCGGGATTTCAAAAGGCATCTTTCTCCACCTGGGAAACATGGAAAAAGCAGAAAATGGCATGCCACTCTCTCCCAGAGAAAAATCTTTGTAATTTAGCCGAATTCCTGTTTCCATTTTAATCAATGGTATACTTTTAAAAACCAGCTTAAGCTAAAATAACAAGTAAATAATGTGATAATACACAGACAGCACACACAGAACTTGAGAGGACATGCTATAGCTTTTTTAAAGCTCAAATAGAGTGGAGACTCCTTCTGAGTCCCTAAATTTTCCCAGAATTTTACAGCCAGTTGAAAATTTTACTACTACACTCCCCACTTACCTTAAATATGCACTCGTGTGCCTTCCAGAGTGTGCTCTTGTGGTCCTTAATTATTAATTACTAGAGGCCTGGTGCACAAAAATTTGTGCACTTGGGAAGCATTCCTCAGCCCAGCCTGCCCCCTCTAACAGTCTGGGAGCCCTCACAGGATGCCCTACTGATGTCCCTGTGGGGAGCAGGCCTAAGCCACAGTCTGGCCTCCCTCTGTGGAAGGCAACTGGCCGATCAGGTATATAGATACTTTCTGAAGGCAGCACAGACTCCTTTCTTATTTCTTTCCTCTGCGGTTGGAGAATAGGGGACTAAAAGGTGGAGACAGAACTGTGGCTCTTCTAGGCAGCAGAAAGAAGGAGAGGGCTGGGAAAAGTCTAGACATGGTTTTCTTCAATTGTCCTCCCTACCTCCGGGCCCCTTGCTCTGTTCTTTCCTTGTCGTGGTGGACGCTTGGGCCTCAGACTGACAGGAGCCCAGCAACGGTGGAATTCAGCTCCCTCACTTCTCAGCTGAACATACAACTGCCTCACATTCCTAGTGGAGCTGTTTTCAAGTGGCTAAAGTGCTGGCAATTCATGCCTCCTGGCCTTTCCCCTCTCGGGTTTCCTCCTTGGGTCAGTTGCAAACTTCACCGAGACACTGAAGCAACTCTGCCCTGGTCCTTCTGCACTGGCCCCTGCCTGGGCCGGGCTGGGCACTCTTCCTTGATGTCTCTGGGTCCACAGTCTGAGCTCAGGGAGGTCACCCAGAGCCCGTTCCTCCGGCCGGGTGGTGT